GTTGAAGATTGTTCTATTTGACGAGGAATCCTGAAAATGAACAAACTGCACTGTAAAAACACTGCGAAAACAGTCTATCGCAAATATTAACGAAATAAAAAAAGTCTTGCGATGGCTTCGCCCGTAAACTATTTTTTTCGACCATGAATACACACAAGAATTTCTACAAGTTCGTCAAGATGTGAATAGGCGAAAAAGCTCTCGATAACATTCCATTTACAACAATTACAAGAAGTTCTACACAACACTCGAACTCACCTTTTCCGCCAAGTCTGACGCCATGTTGAAAGAGTTCCGATCCATCATCACGTGTTCGCATAATCCAATCAGAAATGGACTTCTGATTTGAACAATAATCCGCGCCTTTTCAAAACGAATACGGCTATCGAGTTCAATATCCAAATAATCAATCCATTATTGCATTCTTGAAACGGCCCAAACGGCCCAAGCTTACTACTAGAAAAGCGGACGTGACTCTTACCGTGTTGCGCAACGTTCACCAACATGGCGCTAACTCGCCGAAAACGCTTCAACATGGCCTGAGACGCTAGGAATCAACAAAGAAAACAACAAGGCAATAAGGTAAGCCCATTTTATTTCAAAACAAGACATTTTTTTCTCTCTTTTAAGGCAAACCGATAACATCCCATGCAAACCTTTATAAATATAAAACGTTGCGCAACACGGTAAGAGTCACGTCCGCTTTTCAAGTAGTGAGCTTGGGCTGCCTGTGGCGGGTTCAATATTCAAATAATCAAATCATTATTGTAATCCTGAGGGGTACGCTTCACTTAGTTTGACTGTAACACTTCATTAGTTTACAGTTCAGCAGCCCCTATTTAACAAAGGAACGCTATTAAAAATCGTGTTTTTTAATCCCTTTATATGCTTCTTAGCTTTTTCCATAGCAATCTTAGCTACATCATGCTCGATTTAAACGTCATCTCTCGTGCTATATCTTTTTCATTGATTAGCATAAAACATATCATTTTGCAGTAGTTTTTATTTAGAAACTTACTCAGTCAGTGATGTGCATTATACATCGAACATGATCATCATTAGCGCCTCGAACGGTTTCGAGTCGAACCCAGACGTTTCGTTCTCAGTGGATTGGTACCCAGTCAATAAGTCGTTCCTATGGATACTTATAAACTGGTCGGTTTCTTTTTCCTAAAAGGAGAAAAATCACACTTACCCTACGCGAAGCACTAATTATCTATTATCGTTAAGAGAGTCGTAAGTATGAAGAATAGAGTTTTGTAACAAAGACATCGCACTTCCCTTGCGTTAAAACGGAATAATTTTGACGTCAACTTTCTATGAGTGGGGCGTATTGTTTACGCTCAAATAAGCACTATTTAATTGGTTATCCCCTGACAAACAGACTGGTAGGGTACTTATTCTGTCCATTTCTTACTTAATACCATGCTTTTTCTGTATTACTTGGTCATGTGGGTCAAGTTTTAAGAAAATCCAGTTATTTCTGACAAATATCTTGTTATCATTTTCTCTTGAATATTTGTGGGTTAAAAATATTCATAGTTAATAGAGCGAACCCAGTTCGCTCTATTAACTACAAAATATTCAACAATTTCTGCATATTCCATGCAACAATAAGCACAATTTTATTTAGAGGCGGTTATCACGAATGAAGTAAGACATGAACATGTTCCTACTTACCAACATGACACTGCTTCTCTGGCTTTTGTTCGTTTTAAATGATAGTGCGGCTGAAGTCAAGGATAATCAACCTCCGCTAATAATAGTATCACTGGATGGAATGGACTGGCGAGTATTGAAGAGTCAACTTTCCCAAACTACTAATCTAAACTTCATCGCACAAACAGGAGTCAAAGCTGAATACATAAAAAATGTTATGCCCACCTCTACCTGGCCCAATCATCACACCATTCTCACTGGTCTGTACCCCGAAAGTCACGGTATTGTGGACAACAGATTTTGGGATCCTTTGTATGAAGAAAAGTTTATTTTCGGTTACGACTGCTCTAACTTTGATCCCAAGTTTTACAATGCATCAGAACCAATATGGCTAAGTCTACAAAAACAGGGAGGACGTAGTGCATCGTATTTTTGGCCTGCAACAACAAGTTATTCCATCAAGCCCACATACTACGAAAAGGAAACCTGCTTCGGCATTGATTGCAGTGCAATCGATTCTAAGGACCTTCCAAAGTACAGAAACAGAACTCTTCCACCTAACTCAAGTTTACCCTACGTCCACTGTGTGTTCGATTTGAGAGGTCCGTGGTCGGCGCGCGTCGATAAGGCGGTGGAATGGCTTAGTCTGGAAAAACCTCCGCATTTTATCGCTCTCTATTTCGAGCAGCCTGACGCAGTCGGTCACTCACATGGGGTGTCCTCACAGGAGTACAGGCAGATGGTAGAAAATGTTGATGCCAATGCCGTTGGATACTTACTCAAGCGTTTAAATGAAAGCAGTTTTCTACCAAAGGTGAACTTGATAGTTGTTAGCGATCACGGAATTGAAGACACTCCCTCGAGTCGCCGAGTGTACTTGGATGATTTTATTGATCCCTCGAGTTATACAGTGATACATACGGGATCTGTACCAGCGCACATTTGGCCCAAGCCAGGAATGATAGACATCATTTACCAAAACCTTACAAGTAATCCAATACCTCATGTCCGTGAAGTGTACAGAAAAGAGGACATACCAGATGCGTATCATTGGAAGAATAATCGCCGAATTCCACCGATCTTTATTGATACTGAAGTTGGTTGGGTGGTTACACGTTCTCGAAACGATACTCTGCAAGATCGAGGATCTCATGGCTGGCCACCTGACCAATCAAAAAGCTATTCAATATTCTACGCCCGCGGTCCCGCTTTCAGGGAAGGTGTGGTGGTGAACCCTTTCAGTACCGTGGATCTGTACCCCTTGATGAGCAAACTTCTTGGAATAAAACCGCATCCAAACAACGGCTCAATGGAAAACGTCAAAGCCGTCCTAAAAGAGAGGCACACTACTGCCGGAAAAGTGCTGCATCATCTCTGCTTGAGGCTTGTGTTGGTGACACTTTTTATGGCCTTCGCTGTTGTTAACAATTGAAACAATATAAAATAGCATACCAATTTGCTCGTGATCAGTTCCCTTAGGGCGCTTAATAATGTTCTACTTAGTCTGCACGTGAGTATTCAATATCAGCTGTTGTTAAATGTTAAAGATGTCACGTGAGGGTTTTACGGGTGTTAAAGTTTATAAGCCGTTGTTAACGGATTGACTCGGTTTGTGATACGTATTGCACATCGGACACTAATGCACTAGCCTAACACTTTTCCAAACCAATCGTGAATCGCTTACTTATAATAAATGTGCTTGAGGCCAGTTTCGCGTAATAAATCTGATTCGTCATTGGTTTTTCTGATCTATCCTGGCGACTTACGGATGATGAAACAAACCCGTCACAGAATTTAATACTCTTCCAACCTCTAAATCCATATGAGAAAAAGAAAGAATTTATATAAAGGGCTTTAACGCAAGAAATGAAACGATACTAATTTCATAGTTACGCATGTTTAAGATCGCTCAGCGAACACTTTCCAGGACTCATTCGATCTTTAATCTTTATTTTTTTGCACTACTTACAAATAATTATTTCTACACTAGAGTACATAAAAAGGAGAGACATAGGCAAACTAAATTACACAAGTAGTGATAAGCAAAATGCGCGCAGTGACCAAAGTAGCTTAAGCTTTCGAGTTGGTCACTGCCACAGACAATTAATTGGCATGAACATGTACATTATAGGCATTTACATAACAGTAAAAACCAAAGCAAACTACACTCAGGAAACAGATTCTATCATATAAAAATGCACAAACAGTATAAGTTTGATCTAAACTTCATTGTGCTATCACATGACAACTAATACTTTTTAGGATCACTTTTTTACAATGTATTTGGACTTCAGTAACTTATCGTAAGAGATAGCGTTGAAACTTAGTTTTGCAAGTGATTTTGTTTTGAGTATTCAAAGTTCGACCGTTTCAGGACAGGGCCGTGAGTACATTTTTCTTTAAAATTGAAACAAAGGGCACGATACACAACGGAAAGTATTCCACCTCGTCGCCAGACTCCCAACTTCGTTCCATTCATTAGTATTCCTATCGTAACTCTCGATGCAATTTGCTCCTGAACCTCCAAAGACAAAAATCATATCGTGAGTGACTCCCACACCGAAATCACGGTGCGGATGATTTATGGGAGCAATGAAACTCCAAGTATTTACCACTGGATCAAACACTTCTGCTGATTTTAGACAACTTTTTCGCGCATCAAATCCGCCAACGACATAAATTTTATTTTTCATCGCAGCAATCCCGTGTCTGAAGCGTGCCGTGTTCATAGGCTCCACCACTTCCCAGCGGTTACTCGCAGGATTGAAACATTCAACCGAGGCTTCAGTTTTGTCCCCTGGGGGTGTAGTTCCACCAATAGCGTAAACCTTCCCTAGCAGTCCAACAGTTCTGTGAAAGCTTCTACGCATGCTCATGTTTGGAAGTTTACTCCATGCGCGCGTGTCAATGTTGAAGCTTTTCGCGCGCTTTCCACCGCCTACCACATAAATAGAGCCCATGCTCTCACATACGTCAAAATCGCTCTCTTTGATTCCATTGCCAACTTGGACCCAAGCATTCAGCTTGGGGTCGTATTTTTCTATGCGTGTTCCTCCGCCCAGTACAACATACAGTTCTTCGTTGACAGCCACAGCACATCCTGCAGTTTGTGCCATACCAGTAGCAGGCGAGCAGCTTCCACTTTCTAGGTCGAATGTTTCAATCCGACATGACAACTCACCGATCAGGTACAGTACGTTAGGTGATTTTCGTTTTGTCACTGCCCTCTTCTTGCTACCCAGTGGAGAAGTCAAAAGAGCTATAGCACCCTCTACGAATTTCTTCCAATTGTCTTCACTTAGGATAAGCTCATCCGCCAAGACAACCTTTTCCAAATATTCTTTGCTCATGCAAGGAAAACGAACCAACTCAAAAATCTCCTGCAGAAAATTAATGAGACAAAGTCATTCTCTCAACGGGATGGGTTAAATAAAACAGGAAATGTCAGGAATTGCAGTAGTATAAAAAACAAGACTTCTATTAAGAATGCAGAAGCTTACGCGCAGTGGTTAAAACACAAAGCTACGGATAAAGTACTTTAGATTCAAACCCTGGCCGAGTCATTGTCTCTTTACCTCCTGGAGTGACCCAGACAGAATTTCTTGTTACTATATGAACACAATATCAAACAGACAAATAACGAGAGTAAAGAAAATATCTAGGAGGGGATTATTGGTCGATCGAATACCAAATTCTCCAAACTAACAACAAAAGAATTGTTTGGCAGACAGTAAGCAGAATTATTCATGAGATATTGGGGATGAAAGGGTTATGATGTGTTCTTCCGTAAAACTCTGACAAGTGGCCGTCTCCGCCCAGGGGTATTAATGGGTATACCGGAAAATCGCCGAGGAAACATGTCGAAATTCTGGAAGGGTCACCTAAGTTGGATCAGTATCTTAACGAAATGCGAAACCCCAAGTCTCTTAATACTGTGAGAGAGAGGGGAAAATCTACGGCTTCTTAGGCCCTTCATCGAAGAAGGCAGAGTGGTCGAGTGGTCAGCGTGTCGGACTTGCGATCCGCCGCTCCGGGGTTCAAGTCCCGCCCTGGCCACTCACGGTAGCCCCGAGTTTCAAATCCTCGGCCATGCTTGTAATATAGCCAACTGGCCGAATTGGGATTCTTAATAATGTTATTTTCAATTTGAATTATTTGTTTCAGTTGTTTGGTGGAAAACCTGTAAACTAGCTTCTAGCTAAGTGTTTCTCCACGTTAAAAACTGTTTATTAGTAGTATCGTGAGTACGGTTCCCTGTTCTCGGGCCGTCCCTATTTCCGTTCGACTAATCTACAGAATGTCACAGAAGGGTTTGGAGATCGTCAGAAATTTCGTACAGAATTGATTGTTACATCTAACAACATGACTTACGGAATATTTTATCCTCCTCTCTTCCCTGTCATGCTTATACCATCTGATAACAGCTTCAAACACGTCTTCCTCCATCTTAACATGTAACCGATCACTTTCCACGATCTTACTGAGTTGCTGAGGAGGAATCAGTACGAATTCACTCTCCCGCGACACTTCTAAGAAATTCCAGCTGATGAAACTCCTCACTTTATATTCTAGATTTCCCAAGGAATATTGCATCGCCAGCGATTGAATACCGAGGCAGTTTTCAATCCTGATGAGGGTTCCCAGAAAATCTGCACATTTCTGAACTACAAGCTGGATTTGAAATAAGCTCGCCACTGCAAGGATATTCTCCACGTTTGATTCGTTGAGATCCATTTTGCAAGTGTACAGAAAGTCTACAAGTTGCTCAACGGCGTTTTCGTCGCAATCCTGCAGAGATATCGTGCCTAAGTTGCTCTCGAGAAACCCCGTGGTCAACATGGCACGAAAGTACGAACTACAAGCTGCCAGAACGACTCGATGAGCACGTATTTCCCTTCTGTTCACACTGAGTGTGATGTCACATAATTCATCGAGCTTCCTCATCTCCTGGAAGACGGAGAAGGAATCTTTCTCGTGATCGCCGATCACTTGTAAAACCTGATCGCTAAATTCCTGTACGGCCGCCATATTGGTATGAAGTTATTGACAACACACAATCAGGTATCTTACTTGACGTACCGATAAACAACAGGTCGACTGCTTACTCTCAGGCTCATCAAGAAAAGAAAGATGGCGGATGAGTCATCAGAGAGCGAGTCACCTGTCGATCGTGCCATCTTAACTCTCTTAGGAAAAGTCAATTCGCTTCATGAAGAATGCCTTAAAGTCCGACAGAGCACATCGGGTCAGTAATCGCACTGTTTTGTTCATAACGTGGAACACGCATCGATCCGAGGCATAATTCGTGAAGCCTTTCATGTTTCCTTCATCAAACAGGGACATAATCCATAAAACTTATGTTGTATTTGCAGACGCTGGTGAGTTAGATTTATTAGACAAAGCAGAGGCCAAGTGTAAAATGTGTCTTCAACTCCTGGAAAAAGGGTAAGCATAATGATGAAACTCAGGGTGTGTCGAGGGCCACAAGTTTATTAGCCTTTCGGTTATTTAGTACTACTCTTTTTAGATAAAGAGTTAAGTTACTTACCTACTTAGTTTCTTACTCACTTACTTACTAGGGAAATAGGTAAAATCTACAGTGAAACTAGTATAAAGCAGACACTGGTGGGACTCTCACTTGTGTTTGTTTAATACAGGAGGTCTGCTTAATACTGCATATTGTAGATTGGCTCTTAAACCTCTAGTCGAAGAGAATATGCAATCAGGATTCTTTTATATAGCATTCTCAGGTAGAAAGAACAACAATCAAGTATCAGAATGTGTTTTTTTAATGAAAACAAACATTATTGTAAAATTCCTCATTATGCTGTCCGCCTAATACAGGTTTTGAGTTAGAAATTGGTATCTACACCCATTTACAGGGTTGTGCCAGAGCAGAACCTGGGGACGGCATGCAACCATTTTCCTTTGGCAACTTGTATGAAACCTTTGAATAGCTGGGTACCTGAAATTTCTGAGACAAGAATCCTTGAGCAGGCAGAGATTCTTTTAAGAGCACAACTTTGTCCTTATAGAAGTATTGAAAGTACTCTGAAAGGAAAATTAATTATTGTTTTAAATTACAGTCAAGCTGCAGCTACCAAAAAGGCAGTACTTTTCAAAGTTCTTCAGAATTACTCACAGGTATTTTACTACTTACCACTGATTTTAATTTTTAGACAGTGCAACCTTAATTTTCACTCATCCTTGGTAAGAAGTAAAGATAATGTACAGTACTAGAAAATGAATAATGAAGAAATGACACTGATAATGAAGGTATTCCAGGAAAGTACAGTAATGTTTACATTCGATGAGTTTAGATCAATATATTCAACTTCTAGTGATCAAAGTTTTTGATCACCTTTTAAACCTTTCTAAACAACATCATTAAAAGATGGAGCTTGGATCAAATTTTAAAATTAGTAAATAAATTTAATTTCAGGCTCTTCTTGATCAAACATATGTTCTGGAGTGCAGACTGGTAAATGCAGATTTTCCAGAAGACAAGTGTAAAGGAGACATAAGGCATTTAATTGGTATCTCAATTTTTTTGGGTTAAAAATGTTGTTTTTTTTTTAAGGGAAAATGAGAGAAGTGGTAAGGATTGAGATGAGGTTTCAAGTTGTAAAGATCTCAAAGTATATTCTCCTTACTGTCTACCATACATTTATTTTAACTCAAACTTGGAGAAATTGGTGTTAAATCAAAACTGTTCTTTTAGCTGATTCTTTTTCTTTCTTCTCATCAACTTTCTCCTTAACAAATGTTTGATATTGTTAGGAAAAATTACTTTGTGGTCACTCCTGGCACTAAAAGTTGGAAAAAGAGTCTGTGGGTGAGAGGGAGAATGATGATGGATTTAGATGTATCATTATTTCTGTAATCTCAGCAAAAGTGTGATAAATTTTAGTGTTTCTTTTTCATTCTAAAGGCCAATTGGACCAGCCTGAGGAGCTGGTGAAAGACCTGCTTGAATCAGAGTACAAAGTAAGTATTTAGTGAATCATTCATGAGTGATCTAGACAAATTTTCTCATTACAGCCTTAGTAGAATATCAAGTAGACAAGCCACGAGAATTAAGAAAAATATCAATTTTGGGGATTATTACATGTAGTTGATCCAGTACCAAATTCTCTAAATTTGCATCATAAGAATTGTAGAGCAGACAGTAAGAATTACAAGGAAGATCTTGAGAGTAAAAAGGGGTCATCCTTGGTGTAAAAACCTGACGAGGTTTTCTTTGTTTCATGAGGTATTGTTTTGCTGTACGCTATTGTTTATGATGTTTTGTTGTCTTTGTTTTACATCACCCATGAGCTTCACAGGTTTTTACACTGAGGATGAGCTGTAAAAAGGGTAAAGAAAGAAAGGGGAAGGTGAAGGGATAATACACATATGGGGTGGAGTTTAAGGTGAACATAAATGGAAGTGAAGGTATGTGGTTGAAATCACTGATTAGACGAGGAGAAAGAGAATTGGTTGAAGATGTTGGGAAGGTAGAGTGTACTGCTTTTAACAGGTAACTGCTTCACAAGTGCCACACAGATGAGGGTTTTGGTCCTACCCAGTTTAGAAAGGGATGTCAAGAGCAAGGAAGTTTGAACTAGGAAGCTGGGTGTCCGGTTAAGTAGAGGAGTCAATAAAGTCTGATTTGAATGTATGGTCTGGCCAGTATATATATCTTATTAACCAAGCGTTAGGGCCGTACTGGGAGAATATTGGCCCGAGGTCTTGACAGTACAGACCTCGCTGTGCTTGGTCCATACAAAAAAGACCAAGGGCCGATATTCTTCCAGTACGGTCCCGAGCAAGCTTGGTTAATAAGAGATTTATTCTACGACTGAAGTTCAAAGGGACACAAGTGCGGTATCATTCGGGACCATTCGGGACAGTGCCCGGTCCAATACTGAGAGAATATTGAACGGCAATAGAGCATTTTGATTGGTTGTTTTTAGTTATTGGCCCTCTGACTGCCCGAGTCGTGTAATAAAAATGTAGGTATGTGTAGAAATGAATGAAGTGGTGAAATGAGTCGGTAGAAAGGCTTAAGAACTTTGTCCATAATATTGTGCTTTATATAGTTATTAAGGAGTATTGCTTCTAATTCACTCACAGTCTGGACAAATTCTAGGCTCCGACATACTAGAATGCTTATTTTGGAGACGTGGGGCTCTATTCTACATGTACTGCCACACACTGTTTAATGATCCGCTAAGAAGGCAGCTTGATACAGCTCATATTAGACAGGTATTATCTTAAACTGTTTTATTTGTTTTGTTGTCTGTTTGTTTATTTGCTTTTATCAATACTTAAAGTTCTCTCCTCAAAGGCAACTCAGTGCACAAACCTCATGCCTCAATATGTTAACCTTTGGTCCTCTCACTCTTCCTTGTTAATCTAAGTAGAGCAGAACGCTATAATTAGAGAGGAACCTGGACACTAGTTATGATTTGCCCGATAAGGGCCTGGTACGAGTTCTTCGCACCTCGTTCTTGTTTTGTGTTCTCGTCATTCTGTTGCGAGAATGCTCGTTTATGTTAAATAAATGTCTCAATGAAATGGATAAATCCCTATCTACTATGTTGGCAAAACTTTTAATAGACAGAGATTTTGTTTCCTCTCAAATATCTACTTGCTGTCTTCTCCCTTGCAGAGTGCTGAATCAGGTGTCAAATACCTGGAGGCAATGTTATGTGTTCGTTCACCACTGATGATGGATGCAGTGACAGATGTTTCAGCAAAGAATGAAGACATGATGCAGCTTTTGAAAAAAGGTGAACTTTTGAATCGATGTACTGTATTGTACCAGCAGGTGTCTTAGTTTCTTTGCTTTAAAGAAATTACTGTGTGCCTTTTTCTACAACTGGTAAAGAAAGTTCTTAAACCGTAATCACCCCCCATGTGAAAGTAAGCTCCACCACAACGAAGTCGCCCGAACATATAAAGCATCTTATATTCGAACTAAAACATTTGGAAGAATTTAGTGTTATTCAGTCTTGTCTCAAAACGATCTCGCCTAAGCAAGTACAGATAGCTACAGTAAGCGGTCATTTGTTTGTGGGAAGATCACGAGAAAACAAAAACCCGTTAGGTAGCTCCGAAAAGTCTTGTTCTCATCTAAACAGACCTTAAACTTGTCAACGATGAAACTGTTCTGTTCAGAACAACCAATGCGAAACGGTTTCTTTAGGAGCCACCCAATACGAACAGCGAACGGCTGAGGTCAATTTTTTAACTTACTGTCAAGATGGTTGGCGCATTTGTGGTTTCACTTTTATTGTTGACATGGAAATAAAACCCAAACTTAAAATAATTTACAACATAACCAAAGTAAAGCGCGCGCCCTGACTGGTCAATTTAGCTTCCCCCATTTGCCCATGGGTGTACGCTGCTGACGAGAGCAAATGCAAAGACTATTTTTCCGCACGCGCTTGTTTTTTTCTGGTCGCGTAAGATTTGTTAAATAAAAGGGAACTCTTTAGCTAAAATGTATCAATGTTATGTTATAAAACAAATGGTAAACACCACAGCGTACACTATTGAGTTATGGATGCACTTGGGAGGTTTGCTAAGCACTCAAGAAGCTAGAGTCGCTCTCGGCTATCGCCTCGAGCGACTCTTAGCTTCTTGAGTGCTTAGCAAACCTCCCGCGTGCATCCATAACTCAATAGTGTACGCTGTGGTGTTTACCATTTGTTAATGTCTGGAAGTTTCAGCTGAAGGCAGGTTTTTGTTTTCATCCCAGGTATCTTTAGTGATACTCACCTCCTTGCTCTTATGTATTCTGGTGAACTGTGCTATTGGCACTGGAAGATTGTAATGGAAACATCTGCAGATCAGTCTGTGGAAGAGTCGAGCGATGGGGATGAAAACTGTTCAGGGAACTTTAATTCTGTATCAAATGGAAGGCGATTCCTTCAAAAGTTTGTGAACATTGTACAGGAGTGTTTCAAAGGAAGAGGCTGGGATTGTTCAAGGGCTGAACAGATTTTGGCTGAGTTTCCTGAATGTTAGTCGTTTGAAATAGTATTTTTTTTCCATGAGGAGATGCCATAGGGCGTGTTTCGGTTAAGTGTTGTAAAACTAAAACAGTAGTTATCACCACAACCAAACAGATGAAGGGAAAATTTCACAATGATGTAATGAAAGAAGAAACAGGAAAACTTGAAGTGACCAAAAGGCCAGCGGTTTTTAGTTCTCTGTGCTATTAGTTGATTTTTGGCAAGGGTTTTCTATTCCAATCACACAGCGTTTTGGCAAAAGAAAAATAAGGTAATCTCTGATTCCTTTCAACGCAGAATTGAAAGATTCCCGAATTGCAATTTCAACTGTCACCAGCGTCTCAGCTCTTCCTTTTATCATACGTAAAAAAAAACTGACCCGTGTTATGAAAGGAAATGTGCTACTCAAAATATTTGGTTGAAAACGGGTAAGAACAGTGTCACGACTGGTCACACAATCCGTGGGATTGTGTGACCAGATTGATTGTGTGACTAATCTGTAGAATTTGTATTACAAAATGACAGTGGTGAACGCAAAAGAAATTTATTACAATATTTAGGTTCATTAACGAAGTGTAAACCCTGACTGTAGGATGTAAATAGTACAACTTTTCCTGAATAGTTAATAAAGAGCGAATTAAATTCTGTTTCATTACTTACGTAATCCCTTGAAGCTTAACTCTTCGGAGTTAACAAAAGGAAATTTATCCTTTCATTCTTTCAACATGAAAGAAAAAATACTAACTTGGGAATATTGCTTGGTTTAAAACCAAATTCTTACAACTTAAAATACAGTAAATGCATGGTAAACATTACGGAGAGTTGAAAGTAAAGAGGTAAGAGAGTTATAGAACAACATCATACCTTTGTACACTACATGATTTTTTAGAACTATCGCTAAATATACTTATTCAAAGATGAATGGAAAGGAAAATGAAGAATTTTTTTGAATTTTTCCATTTTGCCTTAGGATCAATTTTAAAGACGTTTATCTCGGGTCTGTTGTCGTTACAATTTAAAAATGTCGACAGCTTTCGGTCGAGTATCTTTCTTTCACTTTCCGTGCATTCCATCAGTTCTGTAGCTATTTACAGGCGTATTACACTATTGAAATTAGATTCTCGGAATTTAGCGGTTAACTGTTGTTCATGAAAGTTTCGAGTCATCGATTGCATCATCCGGAAGAGAAATGGATTATGGGTGACAATGTTTACTCTTATCCTCCCTCGTAGGGAGGAATGTCACGCAACGTTCCCTTTCCTCTCCCCCAAGAGTTGAGTGACTTTCCAAAGAACGGATTCGAAGGACTCTATGTTTCCTTCCGGCTTCTATCGCTGAAGGTTTGTCTGTTGAACACTGGCTTCGTTTGTCCTTTGTAACTTACATACGCCACCTTACAAGTGGGGGATAAACACGGTGTGTTGGTAGCAGACAACAGACCCTGTTTTTCTTCTTCGTTTTTCGCTTCAGATCCATCTGATAGAAGGCTGGGGTCCACAGCAGGGGAGGGACGTGGAGAAAATTGAGGAGGGTCGTCTAGTGCAATCGAGGGAGAGGTGTAAGAGAGACTCTCTGGTGGTATGGCAAAGTAACACTCATATTTATCTTGAATTCCTTTAGCAATGTTTTGAAGGCGTGAGTTTAATTCTTCCCTTTTTGTCTTGTTAAACAACTCGTCTATCTCCTTCTTGGCTTTTTGTTTGGCAAGTTCTTTCGCTTCATTATGGTAATGCTCCAAAGCTTCCTTGGCTTCAACATGGTGATAATAATTAAGACTGGGTATTTTAAGATGTCTTCCTTTCTGAAGGCATCGGCGAACAAAGATTGCGGGAAAGAGAACAGACATGGCTACCAACGTCAGAGACCATCCGGCTATTTGACTACGGGTTTTGTAGTTCTCCTCTTGCAACCTGGTGCGTAAGCCGAGTGTAGAAGAGCATTTTTCAATTGTGTTATTCGCAGTGACTTCACTGGTCAGAGAAGGACCGAAATAAGCGCATGTGTAGTACTGGTGCTGTAGGAAGGACAAAACTAGCCAAGCGAACGGAGCGATGGATGCTCGCACCAATACGTCAAGTATCGTTAAGAACGCTTTGAAATAACGGTGGGTGAAAGTCTTCGTCTTCTTTTTTGCGACAGAATTCCTTCTCGGATAGCCCCATAAATCTCTATCCACCAATATTCCAATAAAAAACAGAAGAACGGCCGGCGCCCACAAGAAGGCCAGTCCGTAAGCGTAGTGCCCTTCACAAGGACAGCTAAACACGATGCTTTCAAAGAACCCCTCAAGACCAATCGTTAGAGCTGCTATTGAACCGTACATCAGAGATCGACGAGACCTTTTAAATAGTCCTTGTAAACTGGGGAGGACGGTGTTCATGTTATCTGAGAAGACAGCCAAATTAAGGATTCAGACGAAACTGCTTTGTCTGCAGGAAGACGTTAACTCAGTGAATGCGAACACAACGTGCGAAAGTTGATTTATATTGCATGCATCTCAGTTGAAATATAATTTGCCGACCAGGGGAAAAAACCCAGTCTTTTTTTGGTATAATAGAATGAAAACCTTTCAGTTTCAGCCAGTTTGACAAGGATTTGTTTAAGTGGTTACAGTTCATGTTTGAACCGGATGTGAAACAGGAAAAAACAAAGAACGAAAACGGTGCCGCACCCAACCCCTACAATCACAGAATGACCCTTGGTGACAAGCTGTCGAAATTTCCATGACACGAAAACGAAAGTCTCTGTCCTTCCTCACTCCTCTTAGAATGATTAGGTAAATTAAAATGTCTAGCGACTGGTTTCGATGTGTCCTTGTCATTCCTTTCCACGTCTCGAAGGTGTTCTCGGAATCGGTCACCTAGTCGTCTGCCTGTTTCGCCGATGTATATCTTTTTGCAATAAGTGCAAGTTATACAATAGATTACATTGGCGGAGGTGCACGTGAAGTGATCGGTGATCTTAATGGATCGTTTGGGTCCCGATATTTTATCGAGAGACTGTTTGAGCAAGTTCTGCGGTTCCAACGCTGAAGCAGCCCTTGAGAAAGTTAAATTACGTTTCTCCATTTGATTAGTTTGTTTATGGTTGTAAATCATCCTATCTGTTGTTGATTTTTTCCAGTTTAGACCAGTCATTACAATGACAGAAAGGCCCGAAATAAAGCCAATTGACCTCTTGTAACTTATCTCTTATGCCTCTATAGAGGGAAAGATTTTTGATCGCCGCAGACACTAGGGACCTTACGCAATCAGGACGGCAACGCCAAGGAAGACTTCGATTAAAAAAATTAATTTCTACTCTTAGTTAGAATTTCAAAAATGGCTGCAGGAGCTTACTGGCGGCGCCACAGTTCAACTTTAGCATGACGTATAAAAGTAGCGTTGAGTTCCAAATGGAAATTAAAATAATTTGCCGTCGCGGTTTCGGTTCGCAAAAGACGCAAGTTTTGGCGATTTCACGTTATGGTTTTGCATAGCACGGCTAAGAAATGTACAAAGTCTCAAAACGCACGTGCTGAGCTATTGTTCTGCCAATTAGATCTCTTGTTTTTCCACGCCCTCGTTGCCGTCGCCGTCCTGGTTGCGTAAGTTCCCTATTTTCGCTTCCAACAAATACCTAAAGATAACCAGTGATTGATGTCTGAATGAGGGGATCAAGGGTCATTACAGTCTGTATACAAAATATGTCATGAAACCGAAAATACGCGCCACTAATGAGCAGTTGCTTTCATTAAAATGTACTTGACGACACATAGAGCACTTAATATGTTTGGGAGGAAAATAATGTCGATTAAGAGAGAGGTATTTCAGTTCAAGGCCGTAAGTTTTTTTTTTTTTGTCATTGAAAGTGTGTTATGTCATTGTAATAAAATCACAGTCTGAGTTGTTATTTCTGGCGGCTGAGAATAATCAATTGTTCCTTTCTTGCGTGATATCGATGGTATGAACATAAAAAATGCTTCCCAGGCTCTCCGTGCTATTCTCCCCCATAATCGCACCAGCGAGGCAGTTTTTTCTATCCACCTCTCTCGGCTATTAGAGAGAAAACAGCTGTGACTCTCTTCAAACAGTACCGGAGTTTCAGGCATGTTCGAGGTATGCACTAATTGTCGATGTTTAAAAGAAAAAGAAACTTATTATGAACGAACCGTATGTAACGTCATAACGTCACAGACAAGACGTCATCAAATGGAAAATGAGGCATAGTTTGAAAGCTTGACTGTTTTCGAAATGTTGACGAAAAAGAAAAGCGTGGTTATTTGCCATTATTGTGATGTTTCTTGCCCTGGAAACCTTTCTTTGGCGAAAACCAGCCAAAGAGATATTTTCATTTGGTTTAGCTCCTCTTACACTGATCAATCACTTGTTATGTTTGAGTGAGAATTTGAGAAACCTGATTAAGTGGTCTTTTAGGGGCATTGGAGTGTTGTCCATGAACACGGGTCGCATTGAACGCAAACTGATTGCTGGGTAAATGTCATGATACAGTTGCGAAAGCCGTGAGAGGTCAATGTTAATTTTAGCGGAGCTTTAAATAGAGCGTTTCATTTTGATGCCTCGTTCACAAGAGTGGTCTTATGGCGGTGAAAGTTTTTGCGTTGAATCAGTTTTCCTTGGTAAAGGTTGCTTCTGATTGTTGGGTCGATATCACGAAAACGGAAGTTGGCATGACTCTAATTGTTAAGCTTGGTAAGTTGACGCCCAAGGGAAATCTACTGCTATGTGTTTTGATATCTGACGTATGATCTCTTCATTGTCGCCTGTCTCTTTGTATTTCTCAAACAAAGCTTCCACTTGCACTTTAGCTTGTTCTTTTGCTAAAGGTTTTACCTTCTGGTTGAACAACCTGATTTCTTCTTCGGCCAGATAATGCTCGTATTCCTGTTCATTTTTTATTCCCGTATTGGACCTGGAAAAACATCGATCGAGGGAGATTAAAATCGTCGCAAAAAGGATCGTAACCGACAGCAGAATAAATCCAATGACCTGTGACTCCGTGTTAGCAGCTTCGAACTCGGTTAAAATTTCAGGATATTCATCTGACGTAGTTTTATTAAGTCGAGCCTCCAGTGAACCCAGCTTTGCACAGACGTAATACTTCGTATCAAATAGAGCAAACAGAAGCCACACTATGGGAGGGAGGGTGCTGAGGTACACGAATCTTCTCGAGCGTTGCCAGATAACTCGACGAAGATGTGTAGGAAGACGACAGCACCCTGCTACCATCTTCCAAAATGACGTTGAGATTATCAGCGCGAAACAGAAGAACGCCACCACTGGAACAAATATAAACAACATGCTATACAATCTATGGTAGCGTTCAGGGCACTTGAAAACCAACTTGTTCAAGAACTCCTTCAACCCCAAAACAAGTCCTGATAGGAAGGCGTTTTGCAAGGGAAGTTCCACTTTTTTTAGAATTTCTTTCAGAGAAGAAATTCCGCCCGTCATCAGTTGGCTTAAACTTGGGTTTACCTGGACGCTTTCCAAGCGCTCCGCCATTCTTAAACCAACGGTTTAACACAGAACCGAATAAATAGAGACAAGTGGTTTGTAGTTGCTCTTGTTATTAGTTGTAATTTTACGGTTGTGTGTTTTGGACATATGCAAAAATTCCTCGACTACCACCCGCTGCATACCCGCCAGTTAGATTAGCAGGCTTTGTTAGGTTGAGTCTAGTTTCTTAAGTAGTTCTCAGTACGTTGTGTTGTCCTCCTGCAGTATTAGTTTTCATAACCTGTCTCAATTTAACTGGCGAGCGTTTTGGCGAAACATGAAAAAAAATCTTTTGCACGTCGATGACGTGAAAACGGAAGACTCATTTACATAAATAATACATAAATGCTAGTTTTCCCTCTACACAATAGTAGGGAATACTTGTTTTATGAAATCAAAGAGAGGAATGGCTTTTACATGTGAACACTAATTATTTCCAGAATATCGAAAAAAATTCGAGATTAGATTGTGTCTCGGGTAAAAACGTTCAGCCGTGTATGGGTACAGAGACGGAAAATGCTGGGCTAATTTTGTGTGTTCATCAGTAAGGACGTTTGTAATGTTTCCTAGTGAGAAGTGACTTACAGTGGAAGTGTTTTGCGTCGAAATTGTAATAATTAAGCTCTCCTTTGTCGTGACAATTATGTCTGCCTGTTCTTGTTATGCTTGTGGTTCACTCACGCCCAGGAATGATCATCAGGAGATGTTAAGCCACTTGTTTTTACATGCAAGTGCGTTAGCGGGCCCCTTATTAGCGTCGCAAGGTTAGATTTTAGGTTGTATATTCAATGACAAAAATCAACACTTAAACATGTGCCCCAGGATCGTCCCGCATTAATTGGTCCATAGGCAACACTATATTTAAGGTCGAACATTGGTACTTTTACCAACACTGTTAATGGAGTCAATTGAATATATTCTTCATCGATCTTGGTCACGTCAATTCGCTAATGAAGTCCACTTCAAATCACTTCTATTGATCAAAACTAGTAACGATATATTACTACGAATAAAGGCTGATAGTTTCTAAAGAAACTGTTTGGGGCTGCGTCGGCGGGGGTAACGAAATAATTTGAATATATCAACAAAGTTGAAATGGTAAATTGGCCACCGTTACGATTATAAAAGCTGACGTTTCGAGCGTTAGCCCTTCGTCGGAGCGAATAGAGGAATTGTGGGTTTTGTGTGCTTTTAAAGGCAGAAAATGGAGCTACGTTATTGGTGGGAACATGGCAACGATAAAAATAAGAATAAATTAGTGGAATGAAAAGCGTTCGTTGAAAACTGTGGGATTTAGACTGCCGGTTTGAAAGATGAGCTTTTGTTCAAGAGTTTTACGGCTTTCCGTGCTACCTGCGTGTAAGGAAAGACCGCAGATTGCCATATGTTGCTTAGAATGATTAGGTAAATTAAAATGTCTAGCGACTGGTTTCGATGTGTCCTTTTCATTCCTCTCCACGTCGCGAAGGTGATCTCGGAATCGGTCACCTAGTTTTCTGCCTGTTTCGCCGATGTAAACATTTTTGCAATAAGTGCAAGTTATGCAATAGATTACATTGGCGGACGTGTACGTGAAGTGATCGGTGATCTTAATGGATCGTTTGGGTCCCGATATTTTCTCAGTGTTGTAAATGAAAGGACACGTTTTGCATCGTGCACGAGCGCATTTAAAAGTGCCTGGTTGGTCATTAGTCTGAAAAGAACTTCTCACCAAAAAATTGCCTATGTTTTTGTCGCGTTTGAATGAAATGAGCGGAGGCTACGAAAAGATAGTGCTTGTCTCTGGATCCCACAGGCATCAACGAACGCTTTTCATTCCACTGATTTATTCGTATTTTTCTCGTTGCCATGTTCCCACCAATAACATAGCTCCATTTTCTGCCTTTAAAAGCACACACAATCCATAATTCCTCTATTCGCTCCGACGAAGGGCTAACGCTCGAAACGTCATCTTTTATAATCGTAACGGTGGCCAATTTACCATTTCGACTTTGTTGATATATTCAAATTATATATTACTACGAATTTGTAAAGCTAATTATTAAGCCTATACAATGCCTTCGGCGTTTCATGCTGTGTTAGTCGTCCTGAGATCGACAGAAAAACTCAAGTTTAATAGGAATGTTTTCATTAAGCTAAAGACCATGACGTTGTAAATTCGCTACCCCACCCACCCTTGCTTCGGAAAAGAATTGTCGCTAACAATTGGCAGACTTAAGGATCTCAGCTCGTGCTCTCCATCTAGAAAAACGTGGACGGGATTTTTCAAGTTTTTTACTTCGTATCCGTGTATTTCTTTTCCATTCTTAAACTTTTTAAACTTTTTAGTTCCTTTTCGGTTAATTCGTCCAAATTTTTCTTTATCTCACTAGACTACGGTCGCCTTTACGCATGGTAGGACACGTGGCAGAAAAACCGGCATAATTTGATTGGCTGGTTTAAAGGCTGGTTAGACAAGTTTTTCGAAAATGGGGATAAGAGTGGATTCAAATTCCGAGACGGGGCACCCTGCAACACTTTTAGTATAACCCAAGAAGTGAAAAAAAGGAACATCTCTTTGCAATGTTCATGCGTGACCTAACCGAGAGATATTGTCTGATTTGACCCCAAATTATCAAAGTTTAAATGAAAAGAAATCTGTAGAATTTGTATTGAAGACCTTTGAAGTGGAAATGTTAACTGAACCACCCTACCAAAAATAATACCTTTTTGCCAAGACACGCAATGAATCAACTTAACCAGTCAACCGTGTTTTGACGTCAAATGTGAACGAGTGCCTGAGGATACCGTCAAACTCACTCTTACGTTATAATTGATATAGTGAACTTAATGACTCGTTATAGTCCTAATAAGTCTAACAATAGCTGGATTCACCACAATATTTGCGGGCGTTTCATGACAACGCATAAGGCCGTGGGAATAGTGGCAAATTGTGGGGACTTCGAAATTGTAAAGGGAAGTCAACACGGGCGCAATAGAGAGGTTTATGACTAATACTTTCATGTTGAAACTTTCGAGAGAGAGATTACTTATGTTAGTCTAATTGATGTGGATATTTTATAACTTAAACCAAGATCGCGTGCCTTTTTCTCCATCAAGTCTGAGTAACAATGACGTACCATTTGGAGCAATCAAAGTTCTCGCCTCCTCTGAGTCATTGACCAGCATGAAATACTGTTAATCCGCTCGGAAGTGAATTTCGCAATTTTGAATTGCACTTTTTAATCACAAGGTACTCTCGTATTTAAAAAAAGCTGTTTACAAACAAACAAATTTATTCAATGACAACCCGCCACCAAAAGTTCTAGAAGTTTCTTCCGGCCGTTCCAGTTGATTGTTTTTGAAGCCGCACATCTATTGTGATTCTGCTTTTATTTCAGCACTGAAGTGGATCAGTTTCCTAACTACCTTTAGATGAAACATTAACATTTTGGAACATTACATCATTCAAGATTCTTATTATCTATCAAGCAACACAAGATTTATATCTCCTTGTAATGAAAACCTCAAAGCAAGAAGTCAAAACCTGGCCTCAAAGTTTAAAGCAGTTTTTTATGATATCGTTTCCATTTTATTCTCTGTCAGGCTACGGTTTTAAAACATCTCAAGAGTGTCTTTCCAAATTGTTTTTGCAAACAACTCGCTAAAATAACTAGCATTGTAGGACTAAGTCTAGAAGGTTAGTTTTCATCAAAAACGTGAACAGTTCTTTCTTAATTTCTCCTGATTGTCCCAGATACAGAAGCTAATCAAGCACAAAATTTCGCAAATACTTCAGCCAGGAACAGGTTTTTTTTTTTTTATGAAATTTCAGTTTTTGCTGTGTGAGTAGGAAGTCGGGTTCGGCTTATAAAAACGTGGTAGTCGTGACTTTGAGAGTTTATTTTACAATCAAAATGTTTAAGGTTGATGTTAACGGCCGTTTTAAAGTATTTATTGAAAAACTAAATGTGGACCATGCTAATCATTGATTCATAAATGGAATGAAGTTACGAGTCACAAGAAGCATTGGTTGAAATAAGGAGGACAGTTTTGAACTGATTAATACTCTTCACCCTTTCACTTCCAAGATCTTGTTATTAATTCTCTTTACAATTCTTGTAATTAAAGTTTGGAGAATTTGGTATTGGATCAACTAATAATCCACTAATTGATATTTTTCTTTATTCTCATTACTTATCTGCTTGATATTGTGTTGATATTGTAAGGAGAAATTCTGTCTTGGTCACTAACGCGAGTTAAAGGGTGAAAGCAATTGAGGCTTTCGGTTAATTTTTTTTAATTCATTTGCTCATTTATTTATTTATCTATATATTTATTTATTTATTTTATTTCATAGAACCTGACAACGCTCAGTTTTAATACAGATAGTCAGAAAATAAAGAGGGGCCTATATGGTTAAAGGCTGATAGTTTCTAAAGAAACTGTTTGGGGCTGCGTCGGTGGGGGTAACGAAATAATTTGAATATATCAACAAAGTTGAAATGGTAAATTGGCCAACGTTACGATTATAAAAGCTGACGTTTCAAGCGTTAGCTCTTCGCTCCGACGAAGGTGGCCATTTTACCATTTCAACTGTGTTGATATATTCATATATGGCTAAAATGTATTTTATGTTATGTTATTTTAAATTGCGTTCGCTCTAAGATGAAAAGGAAAAAAAAATTCATTTCAAGAGGAAAAAGAGGATATGGGGTACCAAGATATTAGCACAGTCAACAGGACAAGGTCTATTACTGAGGAAGATCATTTGATGGAGTTATTCTTACGTAAAGTTAATATTAGTTCGTTCAAAAATGGATTCGATGGTCACGAAAGCTTATATGAACCTTGATGGTGTCACAGAGGCTAAAATGAAGCACAATAAAGTACTGTAGCCCTACTTTTGAGGTACAAACTTTTAATTAGGGATGCACACTTTCTACTTTGTATCTAAGATAAAGAATTTAAAAGTGCTGTGACTACGGTGGCCATGAGATGTATTTTGGGGGAGAAAATATGAAATATTGCATTGAGAGAGTAACGAAATACGTAAGTGTGGCAGATTAACGGATATTTTACTTTATTTGGTCAAAATCCAATAATATAGGGTTAATTCATTCGATTCTTACTTATGACGACACCATGATATCGCTTCCCGATCTTATTAGTCTCTAACTTCAAGTAAAGAGAGCATTATATGATATTACTTTTCTTCATAATAAAAGCTTTATATTTCGTGGAGAAAAAATAGAAAAGGTGTTACGACAAATACAAAGTGGCAAGAACTGAACCGTGCTGATGTACAACTAAATTCTCAGAAGTATTTTTAAAGGAGTGAGTGTGATCCAGTAATGAGAACTTGAACATTGGAGTGTGAGACGGTTCAGGTTCAATGACTTCATATCTGGTGCCCTCACGTAAGAGTCTTTGTGGTGAGACGAGGAATGATGGCTCAAAATGCAAACGCAGCAACTCACGAAAGATAGGCAGTTATTCATTTTATTTGTTTTTAGACCACCGAAACACCTACCGTGATCACTTGAATAAATGTCATAACTCAAGCACTTAGCGTGAAACGATCTGTACGTTTTGACGAACTGTACTTTTGACGAACACGTATGGCTTTTTTTCGCTGCATATAACTATATAACATAGTAGCTGAATTTATGTGCGCCTTCCTTCTATTTATATCAGGTATTTGTATCATTATTAGCTCCTATAAATATACAGAAAAAACATATATATATATATATCTTTTCACAGAGATTTCGAGAAGTTCCTATTTAAACTTCTCGTTCGCTTCAACCAAATTTACTTTTAAGGAGTTATTCTTTAGACATGCAAATATCTCTGCTATGTACGTCTAGAAACCTGCGCTGATCCTGTACAGGGCACAAACATCCGTTCACCTATTTGCATGAATCTTTAGAGGCTTAATACAGCTGTTGAGCTTGTAAGCCTTACAGAGTAATGAAAGTGAATTTTCGGACAAGTAGCGGAATTCTACGATGATAGGCTTGTAATACCTTTGTTTAACCCTTAAACTCCCAGAAATGATAAACACGTAACTTCTCCCTATAATATCCATACATCATCCGGCAAAAAGGTGACGAGAATACTCAAACTTATCAGGGAGAAGTTATTATCTTGATCTAACACCAAAAACCTCGTTACTAATTTACAAGGAAATGTGGAGTAGCTAGAGGGGAGAGATTAACAATTAGATCTTGGAATTTAAACGGTTAATACATTAACAAAACACCTGATATCTTCATATGTTAATGAAAAGATTTTGTAATCCAAGTCTCGTGAGAGACTAATTCGTGCATTCAACATACTGAATTTATTCATTATGCCGTAGAAGAATGGTGTAGCCCATACGTCTAGGACCTTAAAATTCAAAGCTATTGACAGTGTTTTCATTGCTATGGTTTATTAGGCTGAACAGGGCGGTACGAACTGTTTAAGTAGATACAGTAATTCATACTTGCATGGTCATCTGCTATTGTTCCGAGGTTCTAAAGCGAAGCTCAGAAATCCTGACTGATCGAAGCAAAACTTTTGCGACAGCTTAAACGAGAAGTGTTGTTAGATTTCCAAGAAAACTGCTGTTGTTACATGTGATCAGGAAACTTTGCTATATACATATTCAAACAATTAAACATGTGCAGAGTGCATGGTATTGCGATGTTAATTGTACTTTGGTCCTTAATAGAGCGACTCACTTGTGACTCTAATTCTAGTACTCCTTGAACAATTAATCTATTGCTAAAATATATATTATGATCATATCAAACATTTGCTAAGGTGATGAAGGATCTAAACATTTATAACCAAGAGCAATTATGTATGTACAAGTGATGTTGTTGTTCAAAAGTCAAGCTTCTTGTGTAAACATTCGAACACGCTTGTTTCCCGTGCTGAGAAGAGAAAGTGCTTGGATCATCTTCTTGTCCTTGTTGTCCATTGCGATTTCAACAGGTGTAAGTCCTTCTTTTGTGTAAGCTTTTACGCTCGCTCCATTTCTAATAAGGAAAATTACCGCTCTAATATCACCTCCGCAGACAGCGGCGTGAAGAGGCGTCCAACCCTCTTTGTCTCTTACGTCTACCAAAGCACCGAACTTCAGAAACACCTCCAAACATCTAACTTTGCCTTGAAAAGCAGCTTCGTGCATGGCAGTCCCTCCGCTGGCGTTTAAATTGTCCAACGTAATGTGTCCAGCGCTTAAAATGCCATGAAGCAGGCGAGAGTCATTCCTTGCCACAGCGGCGTCTAAAACATATGAAGGATTTAGAAGACGTTCATCGTAATTGTTGTTTAGCATGTCGAGATCATTCAGTTTATCCTCTGGTTCGTCCTTTACGCAATCAATGACAATAGCTGGTGGAGTCTTTTCTTGTTCTGCGGGCACGGTGTGTCTTCTTTTGTTATGGTAGGCGTGATTGTACAAATTTAAACCATTCGGAAACACAACGTTTCCGACCGATCTACATCTCTGTAGTTTCTCTTTCTTTCGTCTGTCAGCGTATCTTCGAACGGTTCCAGGCAAGCCGATTTGAGACCTTTCCATGACAGATTTCTCTGCTAAACACACTTTAGTGCTTGTTTTTCAGTTTAGAGTTAGTTGTTGACCTGTTTTCGCGAGAGTGACTCAGGTTACTGACAAGAATTAAGAGCTTACACAGGAAGCTCTTCACTACGGCGCTGCAAATAGCTTATGACAACTTCGCCGTATTGCGATCCCTTGTAGCGTGCGTTGAACTTAATTTACATCCGTGAATGCTCCAACCGTCAGATGACGGAAAACCTACCTCGCTGGTCACGAGATAACATCCGTTTAATCTGTGTTGTAATCCTCCTAAATACAGCATTTTATGCTCCACAGCTTATCTTAATGATCCTTTGGGGGGTAATTAATATATTAGCATTTTCACAAAAGGAATCACCCGGCTCTTTTTTCCGGTTTGATGATCACGTCACTTTAACAATTGGTGCTTACAAGAGAGATTAGACTGCGAGCACCTTTATCAAAGACAAGTCAGTGTATGATATTGTGCGTAACATTTGCCTTTTTATCTGTTAATGGCGCCCTGTCTATGCGGTGTTTGTTTAAAGCACACACGAACAACATAACTTTACTAAACATAATGGCTTTTGACCATATGTTGCATTGTCATCCCTTTCGCTGGTCATTTCCTTCGCTTAAAAGTACAAATAAACCCCATGGAATAGTTTATTTGGATCATAAGAGATGAGTGCCTTTTCTGAAACAGGCTGATTAATTTCACTCTATTAAGCGACCAAATCAACTATCTAAGGAATACAATTACGTGGCCAACTTGTAAACACGGTCAAGATTATTTTCCGATTTAAGGGAATGATTTTCTTTTGTTGCTCCCTGTAACCCTGTTTCCGGATCTTCAAAAATAAATCAAAAGAGTAAACAAAAATTCATGACAAGGTTTTGTTGTGAAATTGCAAACTTGTTCTCAAGTGCTGGAACCGAAATTTCAAAGAAGATTCCGAGGTGTACGTCTTGACATAAGTACATTCTCTCTAGCGAGACAATAAATCCACCTGTAAAACGATTAAGTAATTTAGATCTTTTCCCAACGGCACTTAGCGCGTAAAATAGTTCTTTGCTTCGCCTTAAACATATTTACTTTTTTCCGTTTGTTGACATGGCAGTCTACACGGCTTAGTAAGGAAAACATTCTTGCCCACGGGGGTCAATTTTCACAGGTTTTAATTGCTATGTTCATAACAAACTATTGTTGACGCCGTATTCCAGTCACGTTTCTGAACTGAATGAATCAAATTTTCAGCAAGGATTCTTGTGTTTGCGCTATCACAGCACTTTATAGTAGACGTACTCTGCTACTGTCTAATCTCTGTGTAGTTCAAGAGATTGTCTTGTTTTCATGAAAATAACCGTACCAGACGCCCAAAATTGAGCTTGGCCGAGGACGTTTCTCCCTCTGAAGAAAGTTACCTCTTCCTTTTCAGGCGATTACTGTATAATCATGTGGTATGAGACTTACATCCAATTTTATTTTTCTTCCATGATATCTCACTGATATCTTACAAGTTTTCTATGGAAACTAGGAATAAAAACAAGCGCTTCGGCTGAAATAAGATTGTAGCCGTGGGAGGTGAACGCAAACGAAAATATTGGCTTGTATTTCGAACGTTCGGTGATCTTTGATTTGTTTGTTTGTTTTTTTTTTTTTTTTCGCCCACAAAGCAAATTCATAACTACGTTCATGATTGTGTCGGCTTAATTCCACACAATTTTATAGAATTAAGATTCAATTTTTTTCTTTATTTAATTTCGTTTCTTTTCCTCTTTTATATTCTTTTGGGAAAGTGTAAATTTACGTAAACAAGGCAGGATTCAGACATAGTCAAACATTAAACAACCTAAAGTCATTCTTCAGCTGCGAAAAGGAAGTCGGCAAAAAAAAAGTCGGCAAAAATAAAGATATGTTTTGTACGACGCGACACAGGTCTCCAGGTCTCCTTCTTATACACGGTAAAGTAACAGTCAACGCAAAATCTACCAAATCGCTCAAATTCGCCATTTAGAACCACAGAAACGACAATACACAGCAAGTGAGGTAGGTTTACATTTATTTTGAGCCTTAACATAGACATTCCTTGATATAAGTTTACGATATCACGACTCTTCAATATTCTCCCATACATTTCTTTATATTTCGAACAAACGACCAGACACGCCGCTTGTGTGGGCCCCGTGTGGGGTGACACGGCACGAGACAGAAAAATGCCCTCAGTGACTCATTAATTGCTACTAAAATATCTACATCTGTAAGACAACGTACTCATGAGGCATGACAGATAAAAGACATCGACTGCCGGAAATACAAGTATTTTTTCTATAGACTGTGAGACGTTTTAGCTGTCGTTCTTCAACAGAATATGACGATAACTGAAATCTGTTCTCCATTACCACCAATTGGCACTCCTTCTTGTTCTTTGTAGTTTTTAACCTCAAAACCAGTAAGGGGCGCAGCAAATCATTTTTTGGCTTGTAAGCCTGTTCCGTACCTCTTAAGTATGTTGCGACCGGGGAAGGTTGTGGAAGTCAAGTATTTCCGAGGAAAGTTTGCAAGCCCGGGCTTGCTTACTGCCTTAAATCAGTTACGCACCTGCCAGTTTGCTTCTAGAGATAACAGGCTACGTTGTTGTCAGAACAGGTTTTCCGTTACGTTGAAATTGTGTAACTATTTTTCAAACTGAAGTGTTTCGTTCATTCTGTCACTTTCTTAAAATTTGATATCATCCAGAGAGCCATCATTGATACTGTTGTGAACCTTTCTGGCGCTTTAGAAACCGGTTTTGGCACCGGTCGTTTACCTCTACGTAGGTTTTTTTGAGTTAATATTTTGAAAGCGTAATAGTTATAGAATTTATCACATACCTGCTGTAAATTAAATGGAAATAGATCATTACCTTTTTTTTTTTCTCAATGTTTTGCTGGAAATGTCATTCGTAAGACCTGTCGATTAACTTGTGGTTAGATTTTTACTGTATCAAAATTGAATTTCTTTGTGTCCATAATTGAATTTCTTTGTGTGGATGTGTAGCGTATCTACCCCCTTGAAGAGTTCAAGACTGAAAGAGATTTCTATCGCTCTTAGAACAAAATGATCCTATTTTTAATATGTCTCTATCACTGGTTCTCCACAAACCCTTAATTCAATAAAACCTCAGTCCACCTCGCTCTCCCCTCTTTCCCCTCCCCCCACCGCTTCTAGTTTGTTTATGAACAAACTACGTCTGATGAACAAACAAAACGTGGTTGGAAGAGTTGTTTCTCTTTGCTAACAAAATCCTTAAGATACTAAAGGATCCAGTTTTTATTGTCTAAATATCCACTTGGTTCTTTATGAAGTTCAAGCGACGCGGTTTCGTGAATCAAAGATTAGTTTTTCAGCTTATTTGGAAAACAATCGAGCGCAACAGGTGAAGTAATTCATCAACATTGTTTTTTGTTAAAGATTATTACTTAGCTGGTTAGCTCAGTTGGTGCTTTTGCCAGTTCTGAGAATGTCGTGTCCACAAAATCATCTCCACTTAAAGGGACGATGGGTTGGATACGGGCGCTTTTTCTGTCGATTTTTATCCTGCATGTGTAAGTACAGCAAAATCCTCTCAGTTTTCTTGGTTTCATTTTCCTCTTTCAGAATTTCGTTTTGAACGTTATTTGTATCCAACAGCAGATGTTCAACCAAAAAATTGTAAAACGAAAGATGAAAAGTGTTATGGGCTAAGAGGCTCTTTCAAAGTGACTAACGCGATAAAGACGTTTAATCTGTGTGCTCCAAGGTTCTTTGGTCAACTTGAGAAAGCCGGGTTATGGGTTTTAATTGTTGCTTATTATTTCAGCTTTGTAGGCGATAAAACCAGCTTAATAACGGCGCCTGTCTCGAAAACGCTATCGAAGAGGTGTTCTCTGAAATCTTTATTTTCCATTGGGCTCACTTAAACAATATTCCTTCCATGCACGTAGTCAACAATGTTATAGGTGGAGCATAGTTAAAAGATCGGTATTCACTTAGAAAATCAACTGAGAAAATGATTAACCTCTTTGATCTTTGTCAGTAAGGTTCCCTCGAGTGTTCATTCTTATGTATTATTTATCGATTAAGAGACTAAAGTTTCCAGTCAGATATTAAGAGACTCTTTTGATACTAGACATGAAGGGGCATCTGGGTACAATACCTCGAACTTTTACTTAGACAAGCCATGGCTCACTGAGCTAAAAGGTTCAACTGAGAAGAAATAATACACTTGTATGCTTGTGAACAAAAGTATTTTGCCTGCTGTTGAGGAGGCACCTTGCACTTTGCAGGTCTTGCTGTTTCCTATTTATAAATATGTCGCTAAAATTGTTTCAAGTGTGGCGTAATCGAAGAAAAACATTACGTCCTTGTGATATGATGGTTAAAAAATATTATATTGGGAAAAGATTGAAATCAAATACAGTGAGCTAAATAAACTGTCACCTTAAGACCTTCCATATTATTATTAATGGCGATAAATACAGTTCTAGCCGGTGAAAGCAAAACCTTTATTTCTAGTGATTGTTTGGAACTATCACCTTTTCGAAGGGGCTAACAATTACTCAATGCATGCGCGTTGAATAGCCAAAGAGGCGCGTAGCACCGAGTTGGCTATGACCAATCTCGTATCCAACAAGTGTGAATGGAATAATTTTTTTACTAAATTTTATTAAATCCAGAAGGTTTGGATATTTGAAGCTTCTTTCAGCTCTGTAACAGTTGGTGCAATGCATTTTCATATAAGGTGACTCGGAATATGAGCTGATAACCTGTGTTGAGTGAATCAATCAGAACACTAAAAATGCAATATTCGGAATTGAAAATTTAATAATAATCGTTATTAAAAACTGGATCATTGGATAATGCAATTCAAGACTATTTATTGGCTTAGCAATTATGGTATATGAGCCAATATACCATAATCTAATATCTACACTGTAACATTCGGTTTCTTCTTACAAAATAAAGTCGAGAAGATTTTTATAATATCTTGGGGGCGTTTTTTCCAACGCGCGCTCGTGGAATAATTGTTAAATAGTAAAGTTTCACAGTCTCTTTTTTTTTCAATTATTTCTGAGATTTGCGACAAGTTATGACTAAAATCCTACATAATTTATATGGGTGGGTTATTTCAATAAAGTCTAACTTAATATTAAACCACTGATGAAGACAAAATTTTGAATTTTTTTTACTTTTTTCTCCCCATCGTTTGATGGGGGATGAATGTTTTTCAGTGTTAGTGACGATCCTTCTTTACATTTCATCAAAAAATAAACTTTTCCTTGATTCGGTTCAACAATCGCCACGCTTTGTCTAAATATAACCCTGGTATAAGTTTAGTTTAAGAAGAATTTAATCAACTATTGAAAACTGAATCGTTTTAAGTTTTGTTGAAAATCCTGAAAGACCTAAAGGTTCACTTTTCTAAAAATGTAACCAATGTAACCGATAAATAATTTTCAATATCAAAAACTGAAACATGACTGTTACTTATCCATTACTGAAAACCGCAAGAATTGTGATGTTACATTTATATCTGTTTAAACTAATGTTTACATGTTTCTCCACACAGGTACCAGTCACTGGAAGTGAATGGTAAGTTTTCCTAAAGATTTGAGTTCTATTCAGTCAGGAGTTGAAAATCATCCCGGACTGCTTTGGTTTGCTTAACCTCGTTCTGTGATTGGTCAAAAAAACTCGTGCTTCTTATTCAACCAATCAGATTTAACACTAAAATCAATATTTTGAGGAGAAAGTACCATTTGATCACTCCTTGATGGGAAGTCAGTGATGGACGCTTTTGAAGGAATATTGATTTCAGTGCAGCTCAGCAACATACTTTCACCTCAAACTGAGCGTAAAGTAATGGTTTCTTTACACATAAATATACCTATTTGAACACCAAACATTAAATCTGTACCATTGATACAAAACTCCTGACCTGTGTTGTTTCTCTTGGTTTTAGGAAGATCAATTCCCCGTCCAGGTATGTTTTTAGCACCATAGCTATTGTTCATTACAAAAAAAAGTCAAAAAGGTTTCCTCTCTATCTTGCAGAGTTTTAAAGTGCACGCCCTCTAAGATAAAATCCATTTGAATATAATTATTCTTCCGGTAATTCATAAATAACTACAAATGAGATCTGAGAGATGCGTGAGTGATTACCCTAAGGATATTTCTTTTTCTTTTACCTGGTAAAAGTTGAGGCTCGATTTCCGCAGCTCTTTCGTGTCCGGTCTTCGCTCTTCCCCGAGAAGAGGGTGGGTTCGTGGGGAGTAGCGCGGGCTCATATTCCCAAACAGCGGAAGGGAATCGAGCCAAGTAAAAGTTCAGCTTATGATCACGAACAGAAATCCTTTCGTGCATGTTGAATTTCTATGCATCTGAAATAAAGCCTTTTTTAATAAGCACAGGTGTAGCTTAAGAAACCCAGGTTTTCTTTTTTATACAATGGAGATCTAAAGCATCGGTGCAAAAGGAGAAAAAAAGTGTCGGGCTGCGTAAGTAGTGCGAAAAAAGTTTTTGCGACGAAGATAGTAGGATAGATTTATTATGTCAACAGTCAAAACCTACATTCTCTGACACCTTATTCCACATCCGCAAGCAACCGCTATTACACATTGTAACAGAGTTTAATTATATCTTTATAATAATTTAAATACAGTGTGCCGCGCCCGGGTCGACTTGGCTTTCATCATCGATGGTTCAGGAAGTATCGAGGCTTATGGCAGAGGAAACTTCCGACGATGCCTCAACTTTGTCAAAGCGATTGTCAGCCGCTTTAACTTCAGAGGCGGGCAAACCCGAGTAGGAGTCGTACTGTACTCGTCTAAGCCTCGGCTGATCTTCGACTTCAGACGTTATCGTTCTAAACGGCAGATCATAAATCCAATCATTCGCATACGATACCCTAGGGGTGGTACAATGACCGGATATGCCATGCGGTAGTGTTATAGCCCGGTGTTCCGATATGCACGGCGAGGAGTTCGTAAGGTATATATCTAAAGTTTTTGACCSTCTAAACCATATGCATGACTTTAAATTTGCAGAAAAACCGCATGTCTCATCTCTTTTAGCTCAACGCGAGTTTGACCTTTTGTCCCTAGGTTGCTATAGTAATGACTGATGGAAGATCATCTGACAATGTGGTGCCTCCTGCCAATTTGTTCCGACGATCAAACATCAAATGTTATGCGGTTGGAATCGGTCGGAGATACAACAGAGGACAGCTCTTACAAATAGCGGCAGGACGTCGAAGTCACGTGATAACAGCCGGGTTTAGACAGTTGGGCTCTATAGTGGGAACAATACAACGACGAGCATGTAGAGGTGTGTTACTTAGTGACTTGAATTGTACTTCTAGTATTTTAGTTATAAAAGTCTTGATAAACTAAGCATTTGTCATTATGGAGTAGATGATGATTTAAAAATTAATGTACGCTTTGTATCTGGTCGTTATATTTAATTCATTTTTCATTTTGATCGAGAGCTGCTGTCTTTTACTTGTAGGTACACGCCCTGTTGGAGGGGGTAAGTTTTTCACAAACTGCACATTATTAAAAACATCACCTCTGTGTATCTGATATTGATATCACATCTAAAGTAAGCGCAGCAGGTATGACTCTAAACACGAGGCGAACACTGTTCAATGCAGTTTTGAAACTTTTTATTCAAGAAAAACAGTGAGAAAGAATAGCAAATGCAAGAATAACTTTTGGTCTCGACAAAGCTAACATAAGTTTTATCGTGTAAACGACTTCCGCCCTCTTCTCCATCCAAAACTTTTTCCATCTCTACTTTCCTGATGCTTTTGGTACGGGGGTTAAGCTCAAAGGATTTCGATTTTCAGAAGAATAGAAGTTAACACCATTCTGTTATTCACTTGTTAGAAAGCGCTAGTTTTCTGCAGAATTTTAGAGTGGAATTAAAAGGTTCAAAGGAATGGTGGTCAGGACAGGCAGGCTTTGAAGATGAACGTGAATGATGACTAAGGAACTCACATATTGGCCCGTCGGAGTTTTGTTGGATTCAGAGTCGTTGTAAAATCAACAACTCGCAATTGTCCCTACACATTGTAACAAAGGGTTAAATTGTGTGTTCATATTGAATTGCAGCGTGCCGTGCTCGGGTCGACTTGGCCTTCATCATCGATGGTTCAGGAAGTATCGAGGCTTATGGTAGAGGAAACTTCCGACGATGCCTCAACTTTGTCAAAGCGATTGTCAGCCGCTTTAACTTCAGAGGCGGGCAAACCCGCGTAGGAGTCGTACTGTACTCGTCCAGACCTCGGCTGATCTTCGGCTTTAGACGTTATCGTTCTAAAGGGCAGACCTTAAATGCCATCAATCGGATACGATACCCAAGGGGTGGTACTAAGACCGGATATGCCATGCGGTACTGTTATAGCCGGGTGTTCCGATATGCACGGGGAGGAGTTCGTAAGGTATATATCTAAAGTTTTTGACCGTCTAAACCATTTGCATGACTTTAAACTTGCAGAAAAACCGGATATCTCATCTCTTTTAGCTCAACGCGAGTTTGACCTTTTGTCCCTAGGTTGCTNTGGATGCTTGTTTAAGAGATATAGTGGACCAATCTTACCCCATTTATGTCTGTCTGTACCGGCACTAATCACGCGCGTCATTTCATGGGTTCACAGTACATTTTACGGTAGCTAGTAGCAAGGGTTTTTTAATTTTTACACTTAGAAAAAAACTTGATTGGTAGAAACTTTAAAACGAATCAAACGTTTCGAAATATTAGTTGTAGAAATATTTTTGAAATTTTAAATAATATCGACTCAAAGCGTTTCTCGAGTCGTTCCTTTCGAGGTGATGATTGCATCATCGAGGAACGGGCGTCATGTATAGTTTTAGCTAGATCTTCTTTCCCTTCGATGAATTTTGCTTTAATTTCTCCATTTAAAGGAGATAAATTAAACACAAAAACGATGCAATAAGAAATGTAGGTAAACGTCCTCGTTCAAGAGCTGAAAACCATCTTAACTCTTTACCAATGGTGGGGGGAGGTCAAGGTTATCGCTGGGATGACCCCTACGTCAGGTTCTGACAGTCTGCGTTCGCTACTCCACGTTGAGAGACTGGATCACCACCTTCCAGACCGTGATGTCGCAAACGCTATCAATTATGCCTTCCTGGACCAACTGAAGTCTTTTTCGCTACTCGATGCTATTCCACCCTTCTAAGCGAACTCGGCGATGGTAATCATTTCTGATGTGGATGTTTTGACCGCAATCAGAAAGTTGAACCCCCGCAAGGCTGCGGGTCCCAATGGGATACCTAGTTGGGTGTTTAGGGAATATACTGACTGACTTTATAGCTCAGCCAGTGACTTCCATCCTTAACTGTAGCTTTGCTGAACAACAACTTCCCCCATCTTGAAAGCTGGCGGATGTGGTTCCCATTCCTAAACAGAAACCTGTCGAACTCATCAACAACAACTTACGACCCATTTCCCTCACATCAATAATTTCCAAATTAGCCGAAGACTTTGTGGTATCTGCGTTCATCGGTTCGGCTGTGTTGAAAATGATCGATCCCGACCAGTTTGGAGCCTTACCGAAATCCTGCATGGCCCTAGCTTTGCCGTCCATGCTCCATCACTGGACGCGTGCAACTGATGGCACGTGATCTGCAGTCAGGGTGGTCCTGTTTGACTACCGCAAAGCTTTTGACTACATTGACCATCAACTGCTCACTCATAAAATTTACAGACTTGATATCCCTCGGGGCGTAGACCGTTGGGTAGTCGACTTCTTAGTGTATCGCTACCAACGCGTAAAATTATCTGCTGATTGTTTCTCTGAGTAGGGCCCCGTACCAGCTGGTGTACCTCAGGGGACAAAATTGAGGCCATTACTCTTCTTGCTAATGATAAACGATCTAAGAATTTCCCAGGATTTCGTTTTTTAAGAAGAATAGAAGTTAACACCATTCTGTTATTCACTTGTTAGAAAGCGCTAGTTTTCTGCAGAATTTTAGAGTGGAATTAAAAGGTTCAAAGGACTGGTGGTCAGGACAGGCAGGCTTTGAAGATGAACGTGAATGATGGCTAAGGAACTCACATATTGGCCAGTCGGAGTTTTGTTAGATTCAGAGTCTTTGTAAAATCAACAACTCGCAATTGTCCCTACACATTGTAACAAAGGGTTAAATTGTGTGTTCATATTGAATTGCAGCGTGCCGTGCTCGGGTCGACTTGGCCTTCATCATCGATGGTTCAGGAAGTATCGAGGCTTATGGCAGAGGAAACTTCCGACGATGCCTCAACTTTGTCAAAGCGATTGTCAGCCGCTTTAACTTCAGAGGCGGGCAAACCCG